GTCTGTGTGGGGGGGCCTATGTCCCTGTAGAAATGACAAAGGGTGGGTGTTGCGGGGGGTAGTCTGTGTCCCTGTATAGATGACACAGCGTGGGTGTTGGGGGGGGTAGTCTGTGTCCCTGTATAGATGACACAGGGTGGGTGTTGGGGGGGGTAGTCTGTGTCCCTGTATAGATGACAGAGGGTGGGTGTTGAGGGGGGGTAGTCTGTGTCCCTGTATAGATGACAGAGGGTGGGTGTGGTGTGGCCTGTGTCCCTGTATAAATGACAGAGGGTGGGTGTGTTGCGGGGGCGAGGCTGTGTCCCTGTGTAAATGGCAGATGGTGAGGGTGGGGTCTCTTCTTGTGTATGTGCAAAGCCCATTTTAATTGATCATTTGTTGTCCTCCCCCCTCAACACTATCTCCTTCTCTTCCCTCACTCTCTCCCTGTCCCATCACGTCCCCTCGGCTATAGAATTCATCATTGAGTTTGAGGAGAATATATTCCACCCTGGGAAGTGGCACACCTTGACGCAAGTGGACGGTGACCAGCAGGAGGCGGTGCTGCGCCTCTCGCCATATGTCAATTACAGCTTCCGCGTCATCTCTGTCAACCAGTTTGGGGCCAGCACCCCCAGCGAGAGCACTGCACGCTACAAGACACCATCAGCAGGTTTGTCCCGATGGGATGGAGAGAGGCTCTGCAGTCTGGGAAGCGATGGGATGGGGTTTCGGGTCGGTGAGCAGGCTGTGTTTTATAGCACAGAAACAGACCCTTCAGCCCAACTTGTCCATGCTGACCATAGAATCCCTGTACCGACCCTCCTAAGAGCATCCCACACAGTCCCACATCCCTCTCCACTATCCCTGTAACCCTGTATTTAGCACAGCCAATCCACCCTAACCTACACATCCCTGAGCACTACGGGACAATTTAGCACGGCCAATCCACCCTAACCTGCATATCCCTGGGCACTACAGGACAATTTAGCACGACCAATCCACCCTAACCTGCACATCTCTGAGCACCACGGGGCAATTTAGCACGGCCAATCCACCCTAACCGGCACATCCCTGGGCACTACGGGACAATTTAGCACGGCCAGTCCACCCTAACCTGCACATCCCTGGGCACTACAGGACAATTTAGCACGGCCAATCCACCCTAACCTGCACATCTCTGAGCACCACGGGACAATTTAGCACGGCCAATCCACCCTAACCCGCACATCCCTGGGCACTATGGGACAATTTAGCACGGCCAATCCACCCTAACCTGCACATCCCTGAGCACTACGGGACAATTTAGCACGGCCAATCCACCCTAACCTGCATATCTTTGAACCAGGTTTCCAAAACTGAACTAGTCCCATTTGGCCCATATCCCTCTAAACCCTTCCTGTCCATGTAACCCTCCAGATGCCTTTTAAATGGGGTAATTGTACCACTTCCTTTGGCAGCTCATTCCATACACACACCACCCTCTGTGTGAAAAAAGGTTACCTCTTAGGTTCTTTTTAAATCTTTATCCTCTCACCTTGAATCAATGCCCCTATAGTTTTGGACTCCCATACCCTGGGGGAGAAAAAAGACCTTGCCTCTTCGCCCTATCCATGCCCCTCATGACTTTGTAAACCTCAATAGGGTCACCTTCAGCATCAGACACTCCAGGGGAAAATAGCCCCAGCCTCTCCTTATAACGTAAACCCTTCAGTCCCAGTAACATCCTGGTAAATCTTTTTTGCACCCTTCCTGATTTAATAATATCCTTCCTACAGCAGGGAGAGCAGAATTGCACGCAGTATTCCAAAAGTGGCCTAACTGATGTCCTGTACAGCCGCAACACGACCCTCCCAACTCCTGTACTCAATGCACTGACCAATAAAGGCAAGCGTCCCAATTACCACCTTCACTATGCTATCTACCTGTCGACAGATCAGAATCGGCCCCTGATGGCGGCATCCTCCAAAGACCACTACAGATAATTAGGGCAGAATTAGGCCGTTCAGCCCATCGAGTCTCCATTGGATCATGGCTGATTTGTTTCTCAACCCTGTTCTCCCCCCTAACCCTCGTATCCCTGACTTGTCAAGAACCCACCTATCTCTGTTTAAAAAAAGACACTCAATGACTTGGCCTCCAGAGCCCTCTGAGTTCCACACATTCAGCACCCTCTGGCTGAAGAAATTCCTCCTCATCTCAGTCGTGAAGGGTCACCCCTTCACCCTGAGGGCGAGAGGTCGACAAATGTAACCCCGGATGTCTCTTCAAAACTCCTCCCTCTGCCATGTTGCGTGCTGGTCAGGACTCTTTGCAAGAGTGCCAAGTTTCAGAGCTCACGCACCAGGGGATCAGAGGGAGCGGACGGCTCAGTGCATCAATTCAGGGGGTCAGGGAGGTGGGGAGGGAGATGTTGAGCAGTGATGGTGGGATCGTTGGTGGGGGAAAATGCATTTACAGAGTAGGCGGGGGATTGAGGGGTGATGAAGATGAGAGGGAGCGATCGCCAGGTTACCTGAACCTTAAAGACAGGAGCTAAAGAGACACTAAGTCCACTTTCTGTCTCTCTCTCTCTCTCCCCCCACCATCTCATGTTCTCTCCCCCTCTCACTCCCTCTCTCTCTCTCCCCTCTATCTCTGTCTCTCTCTCTCTCTCGCTCACTATCTTTCTCTGTCTCTCTCTGTCTCACTCTCATTCTGTCTCTTCGTCTCTCTCTCTCTCTCCCCTCCCTGTCTGTTTCTCTCTCTGTCTTTGTCTCTGTCTGTCTGTATCTCTCTCTCTCTATCTATCTCTCTCTCTCTCTGTCTCACTCTTTTTCTATCTTTGTCTCTCTATCTCTCTCCCTCTCTATCTCCGTTTCTCTTTCTGTCTTTCACTCTCTCTCTCTGACTATCTTTCTCTCCTTGACTCTCTGTCCCTCTCTCACTGTCTTGCTCTGTGTGTGTGTGTGTTTCTCTCTTTCTGTCTCTCTTTCTGTCCCCCTCTCTCTGTCTCCCTCTCTCTATCTTTGTGACTCTCCCTCTTCGTAACCTCCATCGATGTTTTCCAGCCCCTGACAAGAACCCTGAAGGAGTTAAGGGTGAAGGGACTGCGCCCAACAACATGGTGATCTCGTGGGAGGTAGGTGCCCAAGCTGGTTTTACTGAGGGACGAGTGTGTGCATTGAAACCATGACCCTCTGCTTGAGCTCACGTTCCCCTGCATTTCTCTCGGTTCAGCTTCTTTTAGAGCAATTCGTACCTGTCTAACAAACAGCTAAATTCTCCCTGTTGCCATTTTCCAATCACTCAACGCTCGTCCCTATCTCTGTCATCTGCTCAAGCCCCTATACCACCTCCCTATCTCTGTCACCTCCTCCATCCTACCAACAGTGCCTGCTCCCTCAGTACTGATCCTCCAACAGCGCCCGCTCCCTCAGCGCTGACCCTCCAACAGCGCCCACTCCCTCGGCGCTGATTCTCCGACCGTGCCCACTCCCTCAGCACTGACCCTCCGACACTGCCCACTCCCTCGGCGCTGACCCTCCAACAGCGCCCGCTCCCTCAACGCTGACCCTCCAACAGCGCCCACTCCCTCGGCGCTGATTCTCCGAC